TGTTTTTGAAGTCTCTTAGTAACTCTGCTTCCCTCATTGCCCTACTTACATATTATTCATTTTTATTTAATATATACAATGCTAGAATTGTGTCAGGGATGTTGTATGGGATATATGACACCTCTTAAAGAGGTCACCAATTGTATTTTCATTCTGAATCCAAATATTACCACAAGAACTGGTCTTATGAAAATAGGTATCATCTGATGGCCTGCTTTTTTACCCCTCTCCTAGAGCAGCTTATGATTAGTATCATTTTAGCTGCCTTTAAATTAACCATAACCTAGGAATGAAAGCATCCATGTCTTTTTACTGTCCCTTCAGCTATTGGTTTTCCTCAATCCTTCACTTAATTACAAGTCAGTATTAATTGTAATAAACATACTTTTAAAATGGTTTTTTCTAAGTAAAACTAAAACTTCAAAGTAAAAAATGTAAAATACAAGCTTAAAACAATGATATATGTAACAGAATGTTATTGTACTTTAAACTGAAAATGGATGGCAGATTATTACTAGCAAGATAGTCAAAAGGATATGAATAAGAAATATCAGGGGCAACAGTGGCAAAATGGTGTTAATACAGAGCTGGAGTACTGGTGGATATGCTTTTATTAGAATCATTATTCCTTAAATAATAAATATAGTACATGGGACAATTGTATGATTTGACAGAACAAGACTTTGATGTTGTTTTTGGTCAAAAACAAGAAAAAACGGAATTTGGGATCTGTATCGGAGTGTGAGAACTTACCATACCACTGTCTGGAACTTAGTCACAAAATGAAATGTAGCTGCGTATGAGATTTCCTTCAGAACATTGTTTGTTAAATTCTGCAGAATGAAGGCTGCTCCTACTAAATTCAAATAGAAGTTTGTCTTTTATCTAGGTCTTTCTCATTTCCAGCATCTTAAAACATCTGGCAGTGATCTGATAGTAGTGAACCACATATGTTTAAGGAAGTTATCTATACGGCAGTGCTTTGGCTGCTAGAACTTCAGGGGCAGATGGGAAATGCCAGCTGCAAACCACCAGTGTGCCTGCACATTTCCGTGGCTTCTGCTGGGTGAATAGTTCTGTCTCACCAGCTGTGGCAACGGTGTGAAATGCACTCTAGAAAGACAGAGCTGCTGACGGTGGCACCCCGCAAAAGGTGTAGGTCAGTACCTACTTTCTGTTGGTTGCCAGGCAGCAGTAAAAATCTTTTTTTGCTAGGAGACTTGGTGCTACTTTGCTGTCAGTATGAACGGGCTCTGTTGCCCCAGAGCAGTTCTGAGGGTAGTTTTGCCTTCCAAACTACATAACATGGACCAAATCACTGAAAAGCTGGGGATTTTTAAAAGTGCAGAATGGTAGACTTTGAGTTTGTATACATTGGTGAGAAGTATGTTTTATTTATTGTAGCTTTCAGGTTGTAAAACAGCATGCTCTAGGTGAAATGGGAGGCGGTAAATCATCAATGCAATCTGTCCTAGTCCCTTTTCATGGTATGGGTTCATTAAGAAGTATCAAGTCTCTGGGAGACGTCCCTCCCTAGAATTTGTGGAGCAGTGTGATGTTATCTCTGTTTTAGCCTTTGATGGAGAACATGACTGAAGGCACATTTAGATTCACAGAACAGCTCATGGTAGGTGACACTGGGGAGTTTTCAAAACTTTTGACAGTTCCTTGGGCTCTAGAGAAATGGTATTTTCCTTAAAGTTAGAAATTAGAAGTGGGACCACGTTCTTCCCAAGCTTTCTATGGTGGGAGAACTTTGCTGGTGGGCCTAGATGAAGAAGTAGATGTGTTAACATAATGGTTTGAGGGAGCGATGGAAAGCATTTGCTATTCATGTAAGTGGTCTTTGGTTCAAACCCTTCTTAACATACTGCAGAAGACAAGATCTTTCTGGCCTTAAAATCTATTTTCTTTCATCATGGACTGTTGTGAAAAGAAATCAGGTTTACATACATTATATTCTTTCTTCCCCCATAAAAGGGTTAGTTAGAAAAAGACTTATCTGCTTCAAAATTCCAGCTAATCTCTAAAAACCAATACTGGTTTTTTAGCTTTTAACCCTCAGCCCTGAGATTAGTATCTAGCCACTGGGTTCCAGCCAGGTCCTCATTTCCATAAAGTCCTTTCCTGCTCACTATCCTCCTGTCTGACTTGCATCACCCATTGAAACATTAATTTATCCCCTAAAATTTGAAAAAAAAATGTGCAGGTCATAACCTAGTAAGTACTTCATTTCCTTAAGTGTTCTGCTGAATTTGGATCATCAATATACTCATTCTGGGGTTGGCAGATCAGGACTATGTATTCAAGTTGGATTTCTCTCAGACCCCAGACCTCTCCAAACTATCCACTAAGTTTGTTTTAATATGATTAAAATATTATTTCTTATAAACCTTAACAATAGTCTAAAATATAATGGATTTATTAGGAAGTCTTGATAATGAAGCTGAGAAAAAGGTTGGATTCCATAGAAAACAAATGACTTGCTTAGCTGTTGAATACATTTGTATGGCTATATTTTACCTGCTTATTTATCCATTGCACTACACTTTAGTTTCCTGGCTTCAGCCTATGGTGTGACAAAGATTATTTAATTTGATTATGACTGAGAAGCATGGTGGAATACAGCTCCACTATGCTTGTTTCTGTCCTAGTGTTTTATGTGGCAGTAATGCAAGCCAGAATAGGCCTTACGCTATCATGCTTTTCTTCCTGGACCAGAGCGCTGAGCTTTAGTGAGCCAACCAGCTCCTTAGGCCATGTTTTACTACATGTAAGAATATCAAGATCATTCAACCCTAAGTGTTTGTAGTACCATCCTTGAACTTAAGCCTTGGAAAGTTTTCAGTAACACATTCAAAACCATAGTAGAAAAGGACCTTTTTAAGCAGGCTGCTTCACTAGCATCTGAATTGTCTGGTTTCATTCCAGAGAGACAAACTCATCAGGTTATGGCCAGTCCCATCTGACATGATGTTTCTTCATTAATGTCACTACAGGGACTTTAATTTTTTAAAATTTATTATTATTAGTGTACCAATTTAACAGTATAATTAAATTAAATAAAATGCAATTCGTTAATTGTATAAAATAAAGTAGGCATGGACCACTTTTTTAAAAGTTATAATGACATTAAAATGCAATGCACTGAATTCATTAGAAAATATCTGTTATTCTGCTTGGTCTATTTTATATTTGCAGACTCTATCTAGGAGATTTTCCAAATCACCAACTGGTACATGTGGGCTGTCCCCTTTTCATTATTATGGACAAACATTAAAGTGCTTCAGCACTGTGCACCCACTGATTTTGTCTTCTGCTCATCCTCATATGTCTCTAGTCTCATTTTTCCCCTCATTTTTCTCTTTGCTATGGCTAGCTCCTCTTCATCTGTTACACTTTCTCACTATTGGCACAATAGGAAATCTCTTTTATTAGTAAATGAAAAATATAAAATTTCAAGTTCACTTGTTTCTTGCAACAATATTTATTAATGGGAGGCAAAGCTATTCCTTAAAATATGTACACATATCTATTAAATATTTGTATTATATACATAAAGAAATGAACACCCAGCTGTACCCAGTAGTCTGACTGAGGCTCCATCACTTCTGAGTCGAGTGTAATTACCTCCCCTGTCTTCTAGATGAGACTCCTCTTAATACATCCCAGAATGAGATGTGCTTTTTTTGCAACAGCATTCCATTGATGACTTGCATTTAATTTGTGGTCCACTTTAACTCTCAATCCTTTTCCACAGTACTGCTGCCTAGCCAGTTATTTCCCACTATTTATTTGTACTTTGATTGCTCCTTCCTAAGTGTAGTACTTTGCACTTGTCTTTATTGAATTTCATCTTATTGATTTCAGATCATTTCTCCAATTTGTCATGATAATTTTGAATTGTACTCCTGTCCTCCAAAGTGCTTGTAACCCTTCCCAGCCTTGCCCTCTTCACATTTTATACACGTTCTTTCTTCCATTATCCAAGTCTATTAATGAAAATATTGAACGGTATCAGAGCAGGGCAGGCTCTTGCCGATAGTTGCTTGATGTATCCTCCCAGTTTTGACAGGAAAATATTGACAAATCCTCTTTGAGTACATTAGTTTTAACCAATAATAAGAATAAATGAATGTATTGGAAATTTGAACTTTTAGAATAAAGAGATATTAAGAGTTTAAAATTGTAGAGTAGAATAAAATTTTGGGGACATATATTAACTGTTCACAATATATTTCCACAAATATCCCTTTTACATGAATTATGTAAGTTTCTTCTCAATATGTACAAGAAAAAATTTATCAATGCGGCACTGTATCACAGGACTATGTATTAGGTATCATGGGATCAAGGAATCTCTTCCAGTGCTTGAGGAATGGATCATAAATTGATGTGTCTGTAACCCTGGGCAACAATAACATATAATGTCTGAGATTCCACTGAGACATCTGGAAAAAATAGGGATCAATACATGGTAAACACAGAGAACTTGTTAAACAGAAAGATACTTGAAGAAAAATCAATATTGCTATATTCAAGGATCTCTTTAATAAATGCAGCGGATGGAAGATGCTAAACCGCCTAATAAATAGTCAGAAAGGGAGGATGGTTCTAATACCCAGAATGTAATTTTTGTTAGAGATTCAGTTCTTGGCAGTTTTATTTTTCTGTATTGAAACCTGCTGTATATCTTCAAAGCATGTTTATCCTTACAATAGTGCTGTGTTTTAGGTAAGTAAATATTATTTTTATTTCCTGGGTAAACAGAGACAGGAGAGTTTAAAACATTTGCCTCTGATCACACAATGAGTTTGTGGCAGAGCTGGGTTTAGAATTGGTTCCTGTGCCAGGTTTTTAAATTAGACTATGTGGCCTACCTAATACTTGACTGGGATATAGATGGTCAGGGCTTGGCTGTACCTAGAGGGTAACAGTCAATGGGATTAGGAACAGCCAAGTTCAGGGGAGCAGGGCTAGAAATAGATGTTATTGAATAGAGCTGATCTACTTCATTAGATAAAACTCATATCACCTCTTATCCAGCCTTTGATGATGTGGGGCAAGTGGAGATGTCATCTTTTTGCTTTTCCCACCTAGCCAGACCTGGGGCATACATCTGGCTAAGTGGGGAAAGCAACAGAGATAATAGACATCCACTGCAATAAAGGGAGAGATACTATAACCACCTTTTGTTGCTCCACTAATTTTTCCTTGTAGCTGTAACAACAGAGGGCATTAATGGCTATTCATTCAGCATTTGTGCCATGAGAAAAAATGTTATGGAGATGCATGAGACTTCAGGTGACATCTGCTTTATGGCAACACAGATGAGACATCAGGTGACACCTGTTTCAACCCTAAGGCTCCCAACTGGAGTTGGTGGATCAGGAACTTGAGATCTGCAAGGGAGAAGGATGTAGGCAGTCACCCTGGCTAGAACTACAAGATGGGGTGGGGTAAGGAACAAGAGGGAGGGATCCAGACTAGACTCACTAGCTAGGAGATCTGGATCAGAGAGATTTAGCTGTATGAGACTTACATGTGGGCAATTACCAGATTAAACCACAAACTAGAAACTACTAGTAGAGCTGTGTGAAGCTTCAGGTGTGGATTTGATTTAGAGGAGATTTGGCCCGATTCAGCATCTGAATCTCTGAATTCAAATCAAATTGGGAGACCAATAAGAAGGTCCAAATTGATTCAAAGTCTCCAAATAGATTTGGAAAAGATCAGGAAAAAGATTTGGAGATTCGGCAATTTGGGAAGTCTTCACTTGCTGTCACAGGGAGCTGGACCCAGGCTCTGCGCCAGTAAGTAGGGAATGGGGGGCTGGAGTAGAGGGGAGGGGACCATGGGGGGACCCTCACCAGGCCCCATACCCTGCCTGCTCCCCACCGCCTGCTCTCCCAGCCCTGTCAATGGCTGCCCTGCTCAGCCCCAGCATCCTGGCTCTTTCAAAAAAGCAAAAAAATAAAAGCTCCTACCAGGGGGTGGGAGGGGTGGTGATCCCCGCTGCCCCCCCATGCTGCATAGGGGGCTCTGCCATGAGCCCCCATTCCCAACCTTCTCTCCCAGCCCCATCAATAGCTGTCCCACTTTTTTTAAAGAGCCAGGAGGTTTGGGCCGGGCGGGGAAGCCATTGATGGGGCCTGTTTGATTCGGAGATTCAACCGGTTCAGCGAAAGCAAAATCTCTGAATTGGTTTCAGCAGAATTGATTCAGGGCAGTGATTTAAATCACCAAATCAAATCACTGTCCCCTGAATCAGCCGGATCTGAATCTGAAGCACATACTAGCTGCTTCGCACAGGCCTAGAAACTAGCTATCAGAGGACAGAGGTCTGGAGCACAAGGGGGTCCAGGCTGGAGTGTGCAACAAGAAATAAGCAGGCAGGAGCTAGGATGAAGCCAGGAAGCAAAAAAAGAGAACATAAGAGCATAAGAATTGCCATTTACTGGTTAGACCATAGGTCCATCTTGCCCCGTATCTTGTGTTACACAGTGGCAGAGAGTGAATGCTGAAAGGGAGAGTGAACAGGGTATGACCAAGGTCTTTTTTCACTGTTTCTTTCTCATTTGCAGTCCCCAGCATTCAAGGTCTAGGAAGCTCCAATACAGAGGCTGTATCCATAACTCCCATGCTCAATAGTTACTGATACCCCTTTCCTCCAAGAATTTATCCAATCCATTTTTGAATCTAGCTAAACTGTCAGGGTCCACAACATCTACTGGTAATGAGTTCCACACTTCAATTACATGCTGTGTGGGGGGGAAAAAAACACCTTCCTTTTGTTTATTTTAAAATTACTACCTACTAGATTCATTTTATGATCCCTAGTTCCTGGTTTGTGAGAGAGAATAAATAATAAATTCCTATTGACTTTCTCTTTACCATTTTGTATTTTGTAAACCCTTATCACGTCCTCCCTTCAAGCGTCTGCTTTTTAAGTTGAAGAGGCCTAGCCTCTTTAGTCTCTCCTCATATGGAAGTCCCTCCCTACTGCTAATCATCCTAATTGCCCTTCTCTGTACCTTCTCTAGCTATTTTATAGCCTTTTTGAGGTGTGGGAACAAGAAGTGGGTACAATATTTAAGATGCGGACACACTGTGGCTTTATAAAGGAGCATAACAGTATGTTCCATTTTGTTTACCATTCCCTTCTTAATAATTCCTAACATTTTGTTTGCCTTTTTGGATGGTTGCTGATCACTGAGCTGATGTTTTTAGCAAACTGTCAACAATGACTCCCAGATCTCTTTCCTTAGTGGTAACAGCTAATATAGAGCCCATCATAGTGTTGGCATAGTTTGGGTTATTTTTGCCCAGCTGCATCACTTTACGCTTATCTACATTTAATTCAATCTGCCATTTGGTTGCCCATGTGTTCAACAGTGCCAGACCCTTTTTTGTAGCTGCTTATAGTCTGCCTTGGTCTTTACCATTTTGAATAGTTTAGTATCATTGCAAATTTGGCCACCTGGCTACTCACCCCCTTGTCCAGATCATTTATGAATATGTTAAACAGCACTCATACCAACACAGATCCCTGGGGCACCCACCCCACTGTTTACTTCTCTCCAGCCTGAAAACTGACCATTTATCCTTACTTTTTGCTTTCTATCTTTGAGCTAATTTCTAATCCATGCGTGGATGTTCCTTGTAATCCCATTAGAGAGAACCCAAGGAATAGGAAACCAGGATCAAATGAGCAGGACCCAGGGACTGTGAAACTAGGAATCAAAGGCATGAACCAAGAAATTAAGAATAAAGAGTTAAAAGCACAAGGCTAGACAGAGAGCCATCTGTCCTGTTGACTACCCTGGGGGCTTTGAAAGAGGTGCTGCTTATAAGCTGGCAGCCACAACTAGGCAGGCAACTGGGGCCAGCTGGAGCAACGTAGGCTGCTTGCTGCCCTGACTCTTGACTTGGGGGGTCAAGGGCAGGAACAAGAACCTTGTATCAGCTTTTGTTGCCTGGAGAGATAAACACTGGTTCTAGAAAATGGTCCTCCAGTAAATGAGTTGATCAGAATCAGGAGGACACAAAGACTGTTGGACCAGAACAAAACAAAAAAATCCAATCAAAGGTATTTTCCTATGAACAGTGGATATCACATTCTGTGCCTACCTAAATTGTACAACAAAGAATTAAAATCCCCCTGACTTGTTTTTTGTTTTTTTCCTCCCCTTTTGGATCTTGATGAGCTGTACTGGTCTTCTTCCCAGGCAGTTGCAATACATCTCAGTGTATCAGAATAATACCATTTTAGTTCTACAATGATGAATTGCAAGGAATAATGGAAAAAATAAAAATTTTGGTGAGATTTAGGGATAGGATTTAGGTGAGATTTAAGGATAAGTTTTAGGGGTGTAGCTCTCCTAGACTGCCAGTAGGACTAGTGCCCTAAAATCACTTGATGACTTCCAGGATTCCTCCTGAAAAGTGAGGTTATCTACATTATCAGTTGTCTGTGGTCAGCTTATGGCTGACTGTCACTGTGAGTTTTCCTTAATGGACACTCATTTAAGTAACAGGACACTTTTTAAGCTCAACAGATTGTTTTACTTATTTTTAGTTTCATTGTAAATTTGGTATTTTCCCCATCAAAACAATTGTTCTATTTTTCAAAGCTGATAGCCATTTGTTACGACTGTAGAGAATACTGGAGTATAATAAAATGTTAGTTATCCACAACTTCCTGTCCAACACTTTCATGTCCACTGATATCTATTAATTACATTAAAAACCACCTTTATCTGAAAAATTGATTATCCAAATATATTCAGGCTTTTTTTGGCTGATGTGATTGATAATGTGTCTGATAAATACCCTGTGCATGTGCAGCCACAGAGCAGCACACAGGCAGCCAGGAGTGCAGCCCGGCA